CGCTAGTTCCCGTGGGAAGGCGGCGATCTACGAGCCTGGGCCCATCGCGCAGTGTTGAGCCAAACACAGAGAAACCCAAAACCTCATAACTGCACGAAGAGGCAGGAGCAACAGCAGTGCAAATGACATGTGGGGGACCTTTATTTGCCTCTGTTTTTGGGGGCCCTGGACTTAAAACCTACCAAGCTTTTGAACGCGCAATTTCACGCCACAAAGCCGAGACCGCTGTTTCACGAGCACGGGCAGCCGCTCTCATGCCACCAGCGCAGTCATCGACGCCGGGATGCGCGACCGAGGCCGAGCCCCAGGCCACGGACAACATCGCGTGCAAGTGAGATCTCACTCGTAACGGCTGCCATGTTATCGTTCCTTGCTGCATTAAGTCTATTGCTTGTGTCGTAAGAATCGCGGCCAGCTGCAATCGCAAGGCGCGACGCACCGTCAAGCCTGGAGCTCGAGATCTGACTGCCGAAACCGTCGATGCACGACATACACCGCAAACCAGCAACACATGCATCCATGCATCACACAAACCGGCCGCAATCACATTATGCTGACATCGTTAAAGCAATCACCTGCTGGCGACCCGAATTCTTCATGCGCGACCCCTTCTGAATGGCACTGCCCCAACCGCAACACTCGAAGAGCCCTCCATGCATTGAGACGGCATGTCAATCTGAGAAACTCACCCCGGAGCTCGAGAAAGTGGATCGTTTAATCGCATTTGGAATAGTCGGCTATCAGAAGGACACTGAAGCGGCACGCAACTACATCAGCTTAAGCTCGCGCCGCCTGCGCCCACGCAAAGTCCACGGAACTCCTCCCCCGACTAGCCCCCCAGTGCCCGCGCTTCACCTCCTCCATAAGGGAACCTAGCATCGACCGCCGCAGCCTCTGCCAGATCCGATACATGCTACAACATGGCACTATCAGCCTATGGCCAGTGGGGAGCTTAGGCAACATTGGCATCACCACCCAAAGTAACGATTTAGGTAAAAAGCTGTTCGCCTCACAGCGCTGCCGCGAGCCTGCTAGCAAATCGAGGCCTTCACCATCGAGCAACATGGAGTGCCTCGGATGAACTGGTCCAAGGACCTGGCCGCGGACCCCAAGAAACTCTGGATAACCTTGCGCACCTCGCCTGGGGCCACTCAAAAAACTCTGGCCGATCAGGGATCCAGGCAACCGGTAAGGAGGCGGTTGCTCGCCAGAGCTTCCCGCATACTTGCAGCTCATACTGCGCTACGCCGTAAGGACCAGCGCTGGGGCCTTCAGGGTCGTGCACAACCGTAAGCGAAACAAAGCTCCGAACTTCCGTGACCTTGTGAAAGCCCCGAGCTCCCCCCATACTAGCCCGCTTGCACCTATCGCCCCAGCTGTTCTGGATCTCTTTTAACGCGCCTTTGGCTGCGACCGAAGGATCAGCATCTATGTCTTCGCGAAGCTCCTCAACGGTCTCAAGTAAATTCAGAACGCAACATTCTGCGCGCTTGGTTGACCCCATGATCAAGCCGAGCGCTTAGACCGAGCCCTGGATGAATCAAGCCCGAGACCTAGCACGGTTGGCTAGGGCTAGCGACTGCATTCCGCATCCACTGCAAGCCATCAACAATTAAACGCTTCTCGCTTTCGCGAGGCAAGGAGCACTCGACGTTGACCCAGCGCGGCGCAACTTGGCGCCCGAAGCCACCAAAGTGATCTTTCGCATCACGAGTGCAGGCGCCGATGTGCCGAACAGCGATCTGGGCGCACCGGCCCCAAATAAAGCTGAATAAATGATGTGCTACCCCGTGGATCGGCCTCCTCATCGCTCGCCAACTCCACGCAGTGCTCCACCGACCCCCTAGCAGGTACCCAATCAGGCGGCGAGGGCTGAGGGCCGAACGGGGGTGCCATTGGCAGAGCAGGGGCTACAGTATATCCTACATGCTGCGCGCGGTACCCTTGGCTGGCCATGGCTGCATGCACGGGTCTACGTGGCCTGGTCGACCATCGCGGGCCTGAGTTTAACATGCCTGTTCGCGCGCGCGCGCGGATCACTGAGCCCGAAAAACTAGATCGCCGAGCTACCTGCGCCACCGTGACAGGCGCGCAGCTTCGTTGCAGCAAGAGTGGCACCTGCAAAGCAACAGAAGCCAGGCGCCTCAACCTCACCAGGGGCCACGCTCCAATCACCTCCAACAGCGCATGGCCCTTCGACGCCCTCAGCAACTGCGCCTGCAGCCGCCATCAGCGCGGCATTCTTGCCCTAAGGGCCTATGCTTAGATACAGGTATAAGATGAAAAGGTGGGGCGAGGGCCGACCTGGGAGATCGAGCTGCACGCGCTGCGCGCGACGCTCACACACTTCGTGACAGCCTAACTGCGGCGCGCGCAGGCCGCGCGCACTGCGCGCATAGACTGTCGCACGTGCGCTGGGCGCACTGCCTGCGCGCGGAAAGGAGGGCAAGGCAATGCGACTCCAGCCGCGCGCCTGCGCCCAGCTCTGAATCGCCTCCACGTGACCAGCTGCATGTCCGAAGCCCTTGCGCAAACAACACTAAGGTTCGAGTTGTCCTCAGTCTCTCCTTAAGAGTGCCCTTGCCACCAGTGCAATTGAGGGTCTCCAGCACGCGCCCGCCCGCATCTCGCCCAACAGCAGGCTGCGACGGCGGGGACACTGACGGGCGATAAGGTCACGAGCGGCAGAAGGCAAACATGGTCATCGTACTCTCGCACAGGGGCAGGAGCACCTGCCCCATGGAATGGGCGCGGCGCCCTCGGCAGTCGGCCCTGCAAGGAAGGCGCGCCTTGCACTCTCGCCCCCCTCGCCGAGAAGAGGACGAACAGCAGCTGCAGCTTGCCCGTCATTGGGCCATGTCGTCTGGCGCGAATAAGACGAACTATCCGACCAATCACGCACATGAAGCACACCTGGCGCAGCAACGGCAGGAATGCCGCGCCCTCTCGGTGCTGTAGAGCTCCTCCAACTTCGCAGCGAAATTCTCGAAGCGATTGCAGTTGGCCCAGGGATTCTTTCGTTCCTCCTCAGAAAGCTCGCTGAGCTCATTGCTGCGCTTGTGCTTGGCAGCGTCGGCAGCGGCATCCTCTCGGCCTGGCTGGCCGCCTGCATCAACCCGAGCACCATCGCCTTTGCACAAGCAGCAGCAGCGCCCTCGGAGCCCATGCCAACATCGGGGGTCGCTTCCTTGTGCACAACGCGGATGTGCTCCTGCAGCTTCGTCCATATCTCGCTCTTGAGGAACGCCTCAGCCTCTTGGTGTTTCTGCTTTTGAGGTGCCGATGTAAAATGAAGCAGCACTCATCCTGGCACTGGTGCTTTGCTGTCGCCTCCGCCACTGGCTTTGTCTGAGACCAGCGACGCCGTCCTGTCGAACTGAGTTTGCAAAGTGACCACCTGCTCCATCTTGGCGGCCAAGGATTGCTCACGCTCCTCGGTCGACACACGCAACTTTTCATATTGGCCACGCTTCTCCGCCAAGTCCTTCGCCAACTGCTCGGCAACCACCTTCGCCTTTCTGGGCGACGGGCCGTCTGCGGCGGCCGCAGCAGCTTCTGCTGGTCCCGCAAGTCCGCGAGCTTCTTCTCCATACTGTCCCGGATGAGATCATCGTATATAGCCTTCGACTTGATCGACGCTTCCAACTCCTGAACTTGCAGCGCAACTTTAGCTCGTCGCCCTTCATCACTTTCAGGAGCCGCTGTGCTGGCTGCCGCTCGGACCATGGTAGCTGCCTCCGACGTTCACGGTGGGGTCGACGGAGGTTGGGTAGAGCTCGTAACTGTACTTTTGGTGAGCGAAGCGACCAAGGAACTCAGTTTCTTTTTCAACGCAGTGAACTTGTCTCCTTTGTGTCCGCCTTTACTCTCAGCCTGGTCACGTCCTTTGCCTTTTACCACGGGCTTTGCCACCACTCTTGTCCAGCTGCTGCCAACAGATTTATGGGCAATGACAGCTCGGGCACGGATGTGTGCAGGCGCCGGCCGCCCGCACTCGCAATTGATCTTCGACGCCTCGTTGTGCAAGTGCGCGCATGAACCACATGACCACTCGGGTTTCCTCGGGCCCAATAGGACACCCCACTCCTTCTCATCAGGGGTCGGGGCCATCCGCTGGCCGGATCTGCTTCTTCCTGCTCCGCCAGGAGCTCACGAATGCCTCGACGAGGCGAAAACTCTACTTCGCCAGGAGCTCACAACATGCCAGGTCGAGGCAGCCAGGCCTTGGCAAGGGGCTGCCCTTCCACCTCGACCTCGAGCCTCTGGAGTCGGGACGGGGAGGTAAGCTCCCGTCTTGAGCCACAATGGCTACGGGGCGGGCAGCAGGGAGGGGATGACGGCGCGAGAGGTGAGGGACGGACGGAGGGTAGGGTGCAGAGGGAGGACGCGGTGCAGGATGGAGGCTGAGGCACCCCGTCGTGCCCCCGGAGGATGATGATGAGGAGGAGGAGAAGGAGGAGGAAGGAGGAGGGGAAGGAGGAGGAGGAGGATGGGAAGGTGGAGGAGGGGAAAGGGGAGAGCGGCAAAAATGAGGAAGGATTTGGATCCAGAAGAGCGGCCCGCGGAGGAGAGGGAGGAAGAGGAGGGGGAGAGGGGGATGGGCAAGTTCCGTCGGACGCTCAATCACCCTCCCATTACAAACAGATGCCCCATCCAGGGTATAGCGGCCTCCTGCATGGGTTCCGAGTAGATGGGGTCGGAGCCTCGCACCGCATCGCCAATGCATCGGCGCCGTCGGTGTGGAGAACATCGGGCTCCGAATTGAACCGCATCGGCGATGCATCGGCGATGTGGCGCGATCCTCCGACCCCATCTACCATCAACCCGTGTAATCAGCATGCGCGGTAAGAATGCAAGGGCCTTGGAAGGCCATATCGACGTTTTGGGGGCGGGGCGCGGACAGCGAAAGCGGCCAGCGATGGGCCGAAAGGAAAGGATGCAAGGGTAACCCTTGGGAAGGTTGACTGTACTCGGGCCCAACCTGGAAAGCCTGGAGAGTATCGTCGGAGATCTGTGCTGCCGCCGCACACCGCCCAAGGCTCGCAGATCTCCCTCCCCCAGGGCGGGCCCGGGCGCGCGCGCGCGCGAGCGGGCGTCGCGCCTACGCCCCAGCGCCCCGGGATCTCTGCGCGCCTGACCCTCCTGGGATGCGCTCTGTCCAGGAGCTCGAGGCGCACCCAGCGACGGCGACGAGGGCCTCCCAGGAGGGCCCCCGGAGACGAAGGCCGGGCGAGGGTGGCGGTGGCGGTACCGGCACCTCTTCCTCCTCGGACTTACGGCTCGGGGGGCCTGCGCCTCAAGGGTGACCTGGGCAAAAGAATGGCCCTGGGTGCTCGGAGGCAGGGGGCGCAACACGGCCAAATCCAAAGTGCGCGAGCAGCCGCCATCGCAAAACGCTCAACGATCGTGGGGGCCCCGATGGGCCCGCAGCAAAGGTTAGGCGGCGAGCCAGGGGGGGAAGTGAGAAGGGGCGTGTCTTCTCAGAAGGCTGGGAAGTCACCCGGACTTCTGAGAAGTTTTCTAAGCCTTCCCCGAAGACAAGAAAAACTTCTCAGAAGGCGCGAGGGCTTCTGAGAAGTCCCGCCGCCTTCTGAGAAGGCCTTCTCCTTCTCAGTTCCCCCCCTCGCTCGCCGCCGAAAGGTCACTCCGGCGAAGGGTCCCTCTTACGTGCAGTCGGGGGTAGCGATGGCGGCACCTCCTCTTCCTCCGACCTACTGCTCGGGGGCCCTGCGCCTCCACCACTCCACCGAGGGGTGCTCCTCGCCCAGCCACGCGGCCAGGTGCCCCAGCGCGGCCCCGTGCAGCTGCAGCGCCTCCTCGGGCGCCGTGCTCCCCTCCAGCGCGAGGCGAGTGGCCTGTAGGCGCATACGGTCCGCTGCAGCCGGACCTGGGCCGTAATGACATCCTTCAAGAGCACGAGACCCTCCGCCGGCCAGAACACGCACGAGCATCCGAAGGTACCCTCCCCAGGGTGCAGAATTAAGAGCATCCAACAAGCACGAACAATAGCAGGGCACCCTCCCCGAACCGAACTCGATCTTATACCTCGGTCCGACTGTGCCGCGCTTGCAGCGGTTCGTGTACGTGCGTCGGGCGCGAAACGATCACTGGGGCCCTCCGACGGACGGAGCCCCAGAAAGCGCTCATTCTGGTGACCAGGACCCTGCGTCTGGCCTTTACAAGCAAGCAATTGTCCCAAAAACGAGGCTTGCGGATGTGGGGCTCCGTGAACCCTCCCCCCCACCCCCCCCGCCCAAAAGGCTCCCCCACCGCGCCGGCCCGAGCGCGAGGGCGCAACCGCGCGGCAGCGCAACTGGATACCGGTACCACTGCCCGTGCCTCGTTCTCGCTTTTTTGGTCCTCCTGGGAGGCCCTCGTCGCCACGGCTGGACTCGCCTCGGAAACCTTGTCAGAACGCACCCCGGGGGCAGCGGTATCCGCAAAAAATTTGGCCAGGTCCGACGAGTGGCAATATCCGCGCGGCCTGGAAGCGCATGGAGTGCGCAAGGATACCCTCCTGTCGGGGCGGTGCCAGAAGTGTCCATGGCCGACGGTGCCCCGGGATGCTCGTGTCGAAATTTGGATCTCTCTGAGGCCCCCCCGGGCCCCGTGACGGGTGGGGCTCTGCAGGCCACCTGGGCATCCCTGGAACGTATCCCTGGAAAGTGAGGGTGCACGGTCGGGGGGATGGCTGGCGCACGAGGGGGAAACTCGACCAGGAGTCGAAAAAAACTTATCGCCGATGGATTGGCAGTACGACCCCGATGGCAGCAGATCCGAACGCTGGGAGAAAGGTTTGGGCTATCGGACCCCTATCGGCGACGAGTGCCTGGGCGACCGGGGGGTCCTGGCGCACACCCTGAGATTTTTTGAGATCTCAAAAAACACTTGGAATTGATTTTGATATTTTAATATCGTTTATTCAATTTGATATTTTCGCATAGCCACAATATTTTTCAATATCGGAAACGAGATTTTGATATTTCGAGATTTCAAGCCTTAAATTGATATTTGGATGCTCTGGGTGAGAGCAGTGTCCCCCGGTGCCACTCGGGCCACTGCTCAGCTCTCCGCCGGCTGCTCGGGGGGATCCGGGGCACTCCTGGAACGCTCTCTCGGCGGGGCGCAGCCGCTGGAAGGCACCCCCGAGGCCGGAAAACCGCCGAGCCCCCCCCCCCCCTAACGATGCCCCCGAGAAGTCCTGGGGAGACCTCAAGCCTCCTCCTCCTCCTCCTCCTCCTCCTCCTCCTCCTCCTCCTCCTCCTCCTCCCCCTCCGCCCTCTCGATCCGCGACCCTCCTCCATGCCCGGCAAGCCCGCGCCCGCCGCGCCCGCCGCGCCGCCTCGAACAACAGTGCTACGTTTGCAGATCATGTCGAAACATCGTAAAGGAGACTTCCCTGTGTTCTGATCCGGGCCAGTGTCTGTTGGTCCTGGGGCCCAGAAGCATCCCCTGGAGGCCAACACATACCAAAAACCAAGGGCGACGGGAACAACTTTTACGTCGCAGCGCGGCAGAAACAGTCCGCACGTGCGCTCGGGCAAGCCGGGGGACGGCATCGCTAATTCAGCAAGAGCAGGAAAAAGGAGGAGAAACGGCCGCGGGACAGGGAGGAGAAAAATCGACGATGCGGGTTGCACGACTTCTCCAGGGCAGCAGTGCAGGGACGCCCCTGGCACCGACCCGGTCCTCGTCGTAGAGCCGCAGCAGCTCCTGCAGAGCCTCCGGCGCTGGCCGCGCCGCATCCTCCGCACCGCCGCTGCAGAGGCCCCGCCACACGTGGCCCATCCGCGCCCGCCGCTCGTCGCTCCGCTGCGCCTCCTCGCCCTGGAGGCGACACACCTCGACTGCACGCAGGAAGGGCCCTACAGTCAACCCGTGTAATGAGGACGCGCGATAAGGATGCGAGGGCCTTGGAACGCCCAGTCGACACCTTGCGAGCGGGGTGCGGCCAGCGAAGGCGGCCAAGGCTGGGCCGAAGGGGAAGGATGCAAAGATAGCCTTGGAAAGCTGCTAATCCAAACTAAGTATGCGGGTTGGCTGACGGCAAGAGTGAATTTTGGAGGCTAATTTTATCGTAAGCCACTCTTGACGGAAAGCTCTGATGTCCCAGCGCCTTACTTGCTTCGGGGCATTAAGGACTGACACGGCTGCCGAAGTAGGATGCTCCCTCCGCCTCCTCCCACCGATCCTCCTCGGGTTTTTCTCATCGATTCGGGCTGTCGCCGTTGCTGCTGCCCTTACTGCCTGCCGCTGGTGCAGCTGCTGCTCGTCGTCGTGGAGGTCGTGCACAGCAGGCAGAGCAAGCGAAGCCCGACAGGCTCGTTGGACCAACCGCATCACCAGACTGGCCAAACCGGATACAGTAGCCAGTCGACCAAACAACCAAGACCAACCAATCAACCGGACCAGACCAAACCAAGCAGACCAGACCCAACGAACCAGATGGACTGCATGACCGGTTAAACCAGACAAGACCTAGGCAAAAACGAATCATGGATAAGCATCTTCGGGGAATGAACTTGCCAGCGAAACCTTCAACATCAAGCGAACAGGCTTTGGTGTAACACCAGCGCGTTCCCGAAAAAGGCCCCGCGCGCATGCCCAGGACGAGTCAGCAGTCCAAACCTCCGAGATAACCTCAAGGGGAGCTTTACGAATCAATCCTTGTTTGTTTCGAACTATTCTTCGTCACATGACTACTACAAGCGGTTGCTATTTCTATCGCCCACGTGCTCCCCGACATATGTCCACCGCGCATCCGAGAATAGCTGGTTTGATAGCTGGTCCAAGCAATAAGCCACGCGTGAGTTCTGAGATACCCTCAACACACCTTCCGACGGCGTGACATGGGCAAGAACATCTGAAAACAACCAACAATAAAACCCCTGGGCCTCCAAGACATCAGTAATCATCGCAAAAACGGCCTTGAAGCATCACAAGAAGGCCCCAAGTCGGTTCAGAGAGACCACTAGGCGGCTTCCGATGACTTCAGAAGAGCTCAGAACGCCCTGCGACGGACAAAGATGCCCCCAAAAAGCCCCAACGGAACCCGCAACACATATCACGAGTACTAATGCTACCAATGTCCCCATGAATGCATGCCGGAGCACGTCCAAAAAGGGTGCGCGTGTAGTGTTTCGTACGTGTTCGCATGGGTGCGAACGAAGCACGTCCCAGAGAAAGCGCGCACCACGCGTGTCCCAATGGGCACGTGCCATGACAAGTCCCAGAGGTTGCGCGTGCATTGCGTGTGAGGATGATGCGACTCCTTGCTATAGTAAGAGGTGGCTGGAGAGGCTCCCAGGAAGCCTCCTTCTCCTCTGCCCTAGATCATCCTCCTCCTCCCTCTCCTGATCATCCGCTCCATGCTCCTCCAACTGTTCCCAGACAAGGTTTCCACTGCGGCTCTGGGAACGCATGCTTCGATAACTTATCCAAGCTCTGGATCCAAACGTTTGGCCACAGAGGCGTTTTGGAAAAGGCAGGGGGCGACGGTAATTCGCCGCAGGCGTCTTCTATCCGCCACCCCCTGGCGGCTTGCTACGAGGGCTCCTGGCGTGCCAATTTTTTAAAATATGTCTGTTGTTTTTAATCCCCCCGGGGCTTCGGCCCAGCGCGCCGGCCACCCGGAACATGTAAATGTCAATGCCTTTCTCGCCCCAAAATGGCCCAAAATGGATTCCAACATGCCTCCGAGACGGCTAAGAGGCCCAGCCCAAGAGGACACGAATCTGTTCCAAAACGGAACAGCCCAAGAGGGCCCCCAATCGGCCCGGAGAGGCTATCAAGACAGCCTAAAATGGCTCCCAGATGGCCCAAGACTGCCCAGAAGGCCCCCACGAGGCCTCCCCGAAGGCTCAAATAGCCTCCAAGAGGGCCTCCGGGAAAGCCCGAAGAGTCTAAAAACAATGAGTTTCCATAGGTGCTTCGGAGATTTGAACACGTGCTTCTTTTCGGTCTTCCGACGGCCCGGGACGGACGTAAAGCTCCCAGAGATCGCCCCAATATCGCCCAAAGAGAATTCCAAAATGGCCCGACCCGAGGCTTCGCCTATGGCGAAGCCCGTCCCCAACTCTGTTACACCGTAGAAACGGTAGTCCCAAGAGCAGGAGAAAGTCGCGGGAGCGACAAGCCATGTCAAGCGAATATGGTTCCGGTCTCAATGGCAGATAGTGCGCCTCGCGGTGAGGCACACTCAAGTCTTGGCGGCCCGCCGCTTGAACAAAAACGGCCGCGGACAAACGCTCGCTACCTCTCGCATTTGCCCAACCCTTTTTAGAGTCGCGCAAGGAGACGAAGCGAGAGTCCGCCGGCAGCTATACTACAAAACACTATTATACACAAGGTAGGCAGCAACAGGCGGGCTCAACAAAGGCGGGTTGACCCGGATACAAGTTACATTGCAGGCAAGTTACCTCGCAGGCAAGTTACCCTGCAAATAACTACTCCTCAGGTGGCTCAGATGATCTCGTCTGGCCAACCCTGTAGGGAGTGCGTCGTCTCAAGTCGCGCTGGAAGGGTTGCACTCCTCCCGTGACTTGTAAGAGCAATTCTCTGTCGATGCTCCCCTGGGCGTGGCCATCCGCAGTCACGTCGAGAGTGTCACACCACTGTGCGCAATGCACGAGACCTCGCTCCATCATTTGTCGTCTCCAACTGATGCATCCTACAAGTGTGCACTCAGCCGGCTTCTTCGAGTCTTTGCTTGACAAGGACTGGAAGACATATGCTGCATCAGTGGCCAAAGTGACCTTTATGCTCAGGCCGCGCATCTCAAGTATATCCTTCAGTTGAGTGAGTGTCAGCGGCCCTGCGTGGAGTTCGTGCAGAGTGACGGCCGTGGGATAGCAGTCCTCCAACTTGCGGGCGGCTGCAAGTGTTTTCGCTGAGTTGCCCGAGCGGACCTGCAAGCGATGAGACTTGCAGCGCGCGTCGCCAAGATGGGCGACGGCCTTGCCAGCATGCGAGCGTCCAAGCCTTGGCAGGTGTGCCCCGCACAGACCACCACCCTTAACTTCGCCGTCGGCATCTCCGTCCAGACGCCGGTAGCCGGAGTCGCTGCGCAGGTCGACATCGCCCGTGGGTGTCATCGCTTGATAGACGATCTTCTTAGGGCAGGCATGCAACTTCCTAGTAATCGCGCTCAGTCGTCGCACTTGCATGTTGGTCGGTTCTAGGACACGCTGTATTGATGCAATATATACCATCAGCCACGCTTGCGTGATCAGGGCGTCAGCCAAAGCGCATGTGAGGCTGACAAACATGTCAGTAACCATCTTCCATGCCTTGGCCTCAGAGTAACATGTCCGTCGCTGTCCTTCGCATATCGCACGGCACAAATGGTATATGTGTGTTCGTTGAGTTCACACTTCCCGAAAGTAACCTAAACGCGCGTGACCCACTTCTCGATGGTGTTCTCTGTGCCGGCCACGTTTCTGTGATCGACGTGTTTGGCAGTGAGAAGGTTAGAGCTCGTCTCGGGCTCCTCGTCGTAGGACGTGGGTTGGAAGCAAAAACCTCTGGTGGTCGCCCTGAGCTTCAGTGAGAAAGCTCTCGGTGCCCCCGTAGTACCAGTGCCTGGTTTGAGGCACTGCAAACACTGTCTCGAGTCATCCCAGCGCTCGAATCCTGGGGGAAATCTGCGTGGAGATGCCGCGCCAGGTGGCGATGTGAAACACACCGCGCGCTCTTTTTTTCACAATTTGCTTCAGCAAGCAGCTGCTACGTAAATCCCTGCAGGAAGACCATGTGGGTGTGGAAAGAGACAATAACCCGCTGCTTCTTGAACGCTGCCGCGCGAGCGAGCAATCGGAGGCTCGGCCGTCGCGCCGCCCCTGAGAACGTTTCCGCGTCGAAGGCTTTGAGGCCCATGTTGACCCGAAGTACCAATCATAATATGGTGGCGCGTTCCATCTCGCCCTGTTCTTTATTGACGAGCTTCCACATATATACGCACCTCGAAGTCATGTTGTTTGAACACTTGGATCTATCGTGTATATTGAAACACATGTTGTAAAACCATGTCTTGAGCTGAGTCGATAGGGCCTTCGACGCCTTGACTGGATTTGCCTGAATATCTGCCTTCGTGAGAAGGTTGCCTCCTTGACGAGCGCAGTTTGTTTAGCTACGGCGGTCACAAATACTCGCATAGTGGTCGCGCTGTTGTCCGGATGAGACTACCTTCGACACTTCTGCCGTAAAGAAGAGTTCTACGCATCGTCTGTGCTCGCCAGAGTCTAATCCGCAACTGTTAACTTCGTCCGTGGCAAACTGGGACATTACATGTCTCGGTCGTGTATATGTCCAGTGGGTTACCCTACGTAGGCAGGTGCCCCCACTGTTCTTCAGCTACTGTGGCCAGCACGTTGTTGTCAGAAATCAGGTGCGTGGGTACAGTAAAGAGATCCTCTATTGGAGTTGCATCCAACAGTTCCCTCTCGCCTTGTAGTTATGTGTCCACACTGCCGTAAATGTGAGCCTCGAGGACCGCTTCTGGTTCCTCGCAGACGGTGGGAAGCTGGCCGTCTTTCTGTGGTGGTTCGACTTCTGGGGCCTCCCTGGCGTCATTGCCCTGCGCTGGCATGTCGGCCAGTTGTTCGAACTTCGTCATGTCTTGATCGAAGCCCGCTTGAGGTTTGGTGGACTTCAGGCACTGGATGCTTCTTGACTGCGCTGATCCAACGTCGTGAAATTTAGGGCGGTGCCTTCGGCTTCGTAGTAGTGGAAGCCTGGGTTCACGTCGCTGTCATAGTGCACCAATGCAAAAATGCCAGCATACGTCCCCGGAAAGAACTCGTGAATGCTCTTGGCCTACCTAACAGAAGCTACGTTTACAATGC